AACTTATAAATCATCCGCAAAAAGTACAGCGAATAAATATGTTGCAGATAATGATGATCGATTGCGATTGAGCTTGATTTGTAGAAAAATAACTGAAGCAACAAAACAAAGGCAATGAGAGGCAAATCACGATAGACAGATATATAATTCTTAAAAATGGAGAGATCTAACCTGTGTTACCTTTACAGGACTTAAGAAATAAGGGGAGAGAAGTAGGTACAGAGGGGTTTATGTTCTGAGGGTGATTTTTTTCTGTAACCACTACTACCTAACACACACTCACACCATTCATTTGTGTTGTTTGTTTTTTATTGTAATTACTGTAATTTGTTATTCCAAATAAATATCTTAATTTGGCGAAAGTTCACTTATTTAGGTTCTCTGAAATGCAATAATGGCATTACCATAAGCTTAAATTTTGATAACATTGTTGGACATTTCATGTTATAATCGGAATGGTGAATGGTTGGTGTCGTGAGTAGGTCCTTAATTTCATCTGAATTTTCGGCCGAAAATTATTAACTGTCGTAAATATTTAATGTAAAACATATGAGTATCTAGAACATGTTTCATGTTTTAAGTAGTGTATTTAAGTAAGTTTAATGTACATGAGCTCCTTTATTATGAATTCATAAGTAGTTATACTTAGAAATGAAAAATTAAAAGTAAGTATACCACAACATTCTATTGGTATTTTTTTTACAAAGGTCAAGCCACTGTAAACGATAACTTCGTATAAGATTTTAATATTATTAAATTGTAAACAACTTTTGGGGCTATATTCGTAAGTGCTACTAAGGCAGGATAGAATAGAAGGTGCACACTTTGAGTGCTAGTTGCACTTGTGGTTTGAACAAGCTTTATTGAATTTGCTAAGATTAGAGCAACGTGTGTTCCTTCTCAACGTAGTTACGAAGCAAAACACTAATCATCATGCTATTTATATTTGGTTCACGTATCGTTGGAGCTAGCGCTCATGCAGCTAAAATGAACAAAATATGCACCTACCGATTTGCACTACATAGCCGAAATAGAAATAGATTTTATATTTATGATTTTTGAAATTTACGACACTGCTTTGTTGGAAAATAAAACTACATTGCTCAGTATTTCAACATTTTTACAGGGATATGGGTTAAGTTCTTCAAACAATTGTATGAAATACAAAATTTTGGCTTCTTAGTTAATAAGTTAATTTAGTATATGCCAATTCCTAATATAATCTCCTCAAATATCAATGCATGTGCATGAACGCTAACTGAGTCGCTGACTGAGAGCTGACTCTTGTAAAGTTGTTTGTACTCTTGCAGAAATGATGGCGTGATATGGTCGCCTACTGAATAGGTGGTCTGCAGGGGTTAACGTAGGCCTTTTTTCAGGATATACCCAAATCACCTGTAAAACGTTTACTTTTGTTGGAACACCGTGATTTTTTTAAGCTGATGTGATTCTGACATATGAGTAAAACGTTGGCTAAAAAGAGTTAATGGTCATTATCTCTTTTTGGCCAACGTTTTACTAATACATTTTTTTTTACATGATAAAATAATTCCGATCCTATTTAGATTATCCGGAATTTTTCACAGGCGCTGAAAGGCGCCTTTAACAAAAAATTTTGAGCTCGCAAGTTGCATAGAACCACTTAGCTTAAGTGAGCCATATTGTTGGTGGTATGAGAAATTAAGATGCACCAATACTAATTAAAACTGTATTTTTGTAGACAGATAAGAGTGAAGAATAAAATATATAATTTATATGTTTGTTACCAGATTCCAGACCTATGAACAATTTTATTGTCTGTTTAAATGGTTTCAGAATATTATGGGTCAATTGCTTCAGTAGGTAATTCAAGATTTAGTACAGATCAACAGAAACTGCAAATAAGACCAATCCTCTTTAGATATCTGCCAGAAGATTTACAAATAATATTTATTATTATTTAATTGAATAGATATTCTGCATGTCTAGAGGACATTCTTCTTGCAATGATGACTTAGAAGCGCTGGTGTGTCTATCAGGTCTACGGTGTAGTTTAGCAATAAAGTGGTATAAAGTAAAGTTATGTTACTTCACGTAATATAACCAGGTAAAACAGGTAACAAGTTTGTACTTCATTTCACTCCCCTACGAACGGAAAACTCCGTTGAATAGAATGTTGTCGTGGTGAGTTAAGTAAAAGACGAAAGGATGATCAGCATCGAAGGATTCATAAATAGGTGTATTGCCCACGGACTCTATAGATATACCAAACACTGTAACAATAAAATTTCCATTGATTTAAATAATCTAGTCTTAGGTCCAAATTATAATATTTAATAATAATAATCACTGCTTCTTGTAAATCTATTGTACAAACTGATTATATAGACATAAAAACACAGACATGACCAAGTTGCAGCAATAATCCATCAAAATCTAGCTCATAAATATTCATTTATTTCAAATAAAACTGTTCATTGTGAATATAAACCCAGTACAGTTCTAGAAAATAATGTATTTAAAATATATTGGTATAGGACAATAATTACTGACAAAACCATACACTATATTAGACCGGATATAATAATACTAGACAAAACTAACAACATAGTTTTTGTTATAGACATGGCAGTATGTAACACACACAATCTCCTCACGACGCACACAGAAAAGATGTCAAAATACACAGACTTAGCAACTGTCATTGGACAACAACGCATCCAATATCATTCAGCTGAATCAGGGAAGCACTCCACTATGATGGGGTGGCAAAGTATCTGAGGCGGCTAGTGGCAGACTATTTAGAGGAGCGTACTGTCGTGTACGAGGACGGAGATAGTAATCTGAGGTGTTGGCATCCTTGGGGTCTTTTTTAGGACCCCTCCTGTTGAACATAATGTACGACGGGGCCCTTCATGCAGATTTTCCCCCTGGGCTGGGTGTAATTTGTTACGCCTGTGATACATTGGTTACAGCCCGGGGGGCGAACTTTTAAGAGGCGGCGCGCATGGCCACCAGAGGATTCTCTCTGGTTGTCGGGCCCATTAAGGCGCTGGGCTTACGGGTGGACTACCGGGTGGTTACTGGATAAGATGCAAGCCCTATTATTCCCTGGGCCCCGTCGTGGTCCACCCCCCGGCGCCTCAATCGTGGCCAACTCGGTCCTCGTACCGGTTCAGACCCAACTGAAATATCTGAGACTGATCCGCTACGGGAGTTGGCTCTTCGACGAGTACTTCCCACAGCTTGCTCCAAAGCTGGTTGGGTTTGTTTCAAGTTTTTATTCTCTGTGCAGTGCTATTGTCCTGCGTAACTACGCATGTTCTCTTAGTCGGCTCTTACGATACCAACGGGATGAATAGGCGTGGTGGCACTCCGTATTCTTAAACCGTCACCATACGCATACAATTTTGCATAATGTTCTCAAATCTTTCTAAACCCTGAAAGGTCAGCGATGTGTATTCCGGCCTTACCCGTTTATCTCTGATACCAAGCAGTAGCATAATTGCTTCAGGATCATTAGTTAAATGAAATATATTTAAACTTACTATTGGCCGCAGCTGCTTCGGTCCCTTTTTCGTCCACTTCTATGAAAGCTTTTTGTATAGCGTCACTCACATACAGATTATTTACAGCTTCTATAAGATTGTCAAGTCGAGCTTGCCCTTCCACAAATAAATGCCTAATTTTAATCTGAAAATTGTGAGAAGCTTGTGTTTTCTCGATTTTTTGTTCCTGTTAAGTCTATTCTTAAGTTTTAAAACTTAACTAATGTTACAAGTTGTTTGTATAGAATATAGTATAAGGAGAACACGAGCAGATATTATGTCACCTGACGGTGCCACAACCCAAGACACTCACTGCTTAAAGTTAACGTAAGTAGTGTGTAAGTTAACATAGTCGTAGTTATGACGATGCCTTCACCTTCAATTATATGAAATATCTAAATTAAAAAGAATTATATAATCATAATTAAATCTTTTTTTTTTACTATTTTATTATTATTATTTTAACTATGGGACTGATATCAGTCCCATGGTTAAAGAGCTGGTGCTACTGTTTCTCACGAGAAATGTATAAAAGGTGGGTCTTTTTCTTGTACAGAGAATTAAAATTGTCATTTCCTATCCAGGTGATGTTGCTAGTCCAGAAGGGAATTTCATCAGGAGGGAATGGGATGTTGAATAATTTTACGAGATATGCGTTCAAGTTGCAGACTGGTGATTAATATTGTTTTACATACATTTATTTATTAAACATCTATAATATATATTTTTCATACTTAAAGTCTGTCAAACTGTAAAAACAGTTTGTAGGCAGAGGTTCTAATTTTTATTTATTTGGTTATAATTGTCTAGTTATCGCAATATTATTCACATAAATTAAAGCCTATTGCAAATCATAGAAAATTTGTAGAATACTCAAATTACTAGAGAATATATTAATACACTAATAAATTTCTTCAATACGCGGGTATATCGTGCCAAAAGTGTTTTTACTAGCAGATTGAGCACGGCTAGCAGTGGAATCTATGTTCATATTAACATTGAATAGCATAATAAAATAGAAATATAAGAAAACTTATTGCGTATAATGGAAGTATTATTCAATACGGTGCATAATACTTACTTTTTGAAGAATTTCTTTAAGATTAGTTGTAGTTTCAATTTTGAACTTGGGTAGACAAACGTGAACGTTTACACTATACATAGCAGTCCTTGCCTTCGAGAATGCTGCTGGATTTTTAAGTTTTTCGATTAGCAACTCAATACCATCATATTGTTTAGGAAGTACGACGACCAAGGATGTTTCACCACCTTCATATGACATTTCAAGGAGCTGAAAGACGTTCTTATTTAGGCTATACAGATTTACTGCATTACACAGTAAAATATTTCATTCGAATTAAACCTACAACAAGCATTGATATCGAGCTGATACATTTGCCGACTGGTTTCCAGTTAGCTGGTCCAACCTTTCACATATCCTGAGAAATTGAATTATTAATATGATCTCTCAAATTAACTACATATTACCTTAGCATGCAATACATCACATACGCCATATTTGAAAATATCAGATTGATGCATCATGGGTATTGTGACTGTTTGATCACTGGTAACAAAGAAAGCACGGTCTCGCGTGCTATGCTTTTGAAAGGGAATCTGCCAGTTACCCTGTTTTAAAAATAAAGTGAATTAATTATTGTCTCAATAGTATACAGATATAGTTTGATATTTTTAGACAGGTTTTACCTTGAAGAAAATGGCATTGACGAGAACAGCAACAGTGCCAGAACTAAGTGTAGAGGGATCCACTAAGTCCTTAATCCGTTCATTTGTGTTAGCTTCGACCTGTAATGTTCAATTGTGTATATTTTAGGGTTATACATTTCAACGTTAATCAGGTTTTGAGTACTAAAATAGCATAAGGAGACATCGAAAAGGCCATTAACAACCGGTGATAAATAGAGAATGTGTAATATTTATGTGCTCAATTTTATTCACTGATATTATTATTTTTACGGGTATTTATATTCCATTAATGTAATACGAGTAATTACGAGGCAAAACCTTCTATATTCATATCTAAATAAGTTGACCGGTTTGAGATATGAATACAAAGATAAAGGTACTGACCCACTTGTTTATTTCATTAGCAGCTCCTTGTGAGTTCATAAAATTGATATTTTGAACGTCTGAACTAAAAACAGCTTGAGAAACGGCCACAAATTCTAGGTTTAAACTGTATCCATTGCCAATATATACTTTGTTTGCCTGCTTCAGCTCAACACCTTTTACTGATCGTATTCTTGCATTCTCATGTGAGAACACTTCTTTTGTCTACAACATACCATATAAGACACAAGATTTGATAACGTATTCAAATATTACTTTTCTCTGCAATGACTGGAATAAGGTTGCCGGATAGTGTCACATTCATATGGTGAAGGAGCTTCCTAAGGCATCTTGCATTCTCAAAAAGGAATGTTAAATGCAAATAGTAAGTATTTCGCAACTTTCTGTGAAAATGCTAAGTTTTGTATGAAAAATACGAATTAAACAATAACTCACCACGATGTCATTGGGCATACCTATAGCTGTTAGGATCTCATCATGAGACGGCCCCACAGACGCTAATGCTAATTGTGCAAGAGGAGATAGTACTGAAAAAGCAGATAGTACGAAACTTTCATTTGCTTGGTTTTTCGAAACTGCCTGAAAATAGACAAGTAAGAATTAAGTATCCAAGATCCATGCGATCTCGAATAACCAAGCCACTAATTCGATCACTAAACAATAAATTAGCGCTTTTACAAGAAACTTGTCGCCGAAACCACGCTACCTCGCTTAACAGAAGCGTTAACGAAAAATATTAATTTAATTTTTCTATCATCAATTCTGTAATTTTTTTGTTGTTGTTGTTAAATTTTTCAACGGTTTTAAATAAATTATATTTCTTTATAAATATTATTCTTTGATAGAAATTAGCTTTTAGATTTGATGGCTTAAATCATTTTATTGATGTTTCTCGTTATAGGGCTGTGATTTCGGTGATAAATTTTTCGTAGAAGCGCGCAGTCGTTGTTAAGTGTTTTGTATTAGTAAACTAACGGGGAAGTAGTATTAGGTGTTACACTTTCCTAAGTCAGTTAACACATTCATTATTTTATTTATTTCCAAGTATTTTATTTTGGAGGAAATTTAAAATTATATAATAAACTAATTTAACACTAAAATTACACCTCATTTTACTAATTTTATTTTGTTGTCATAATTCTTCTTCTTCAAAAGTGACAAAAGTGCATAGTCCACTCAAGCAATAAAAATAGAATTGACAACTCACGTATAGAAATTCTGCTGTGAACTGGTCATTTCCATTTTTCAGGATCTCTTGTACATTTAATTCTGACATCGATGTTAATGCGCAGAGAGCCAATACTGTAGTGCTATAAACATAGGTTTATTCGTTTATTATCGTCATTCTTCAAGCAATAATGTATAATTACACGTTTAGTTGGCAATTGAATTGGAAGATATGCAAAGTCCAATATGCATAAATTATGAACAATTATCTAATTAATATAAGGAATTAAGCTCACACGGCGGCGAACTAGTAATGTTTTAAAAGTAATATTCGTCTAAAATTTGTTGTATAATAAAGTAATTTTTTTTTACATTTATCGAAACTGTACTAGAATGTAAATCACCAGTGGCCAAAAGAATATAAGTTAATATGAAATTGAAGATATGAAATAGCAAAAAAAAGTATTTGTCATCTAGAAAAGTATAAAAAATCGAAAACTTATGTCCTTTATAATTTGTTTCGGTAACTCTATAGACTTTTTTAATTATATATTTTCAATCTTCTAGACAAAATTGTTTATAATTAATTACATTATAGTTAAATCGCTTCTATTGAAACTTGTTTATAGCCCCAAGAAAGTATAAAATACGTCTATACGTACGACGTCGATTCACTATATTCACTATTTACTATATAACCAATATTTCAGTAGTCGCGTAAACGCCATGAGTTTGTTTGTCCTTTCTTCTCATAAGGCTCAACCCCTTGGAAACGGGCGGTTGTAGATCGGCACAGGCATATCATAGATTTTGTATGGGTTTGATTTTTGTTGAATTTATTTGCTTACTATTTGACAAAACAGAGATTGTTGCTTTTGTGTTTGTTGATCTATGACTTTAGAGTCTACATAAAAGACGATTTTTAAACAATTTTAAAAATGTTATGAAATAAAGAGTTTGAGTTTGAGAACTTGAACATCGACCATTGGAAAACACGCGTTTTCATTTTTTAAAGTATACAGGCACAATACTCGTAAATAAAATTTGATGAATGTGTAACATCAATTCTGTTCTTAATTTAAATGTTCATAAACATAATTAAAATTAAGGAACTTAAAAATCTTACTTTGAACGGTGAAGTACCGAACCAGGTGAGTTAAATCAGCTTTGAATAGTTTAACAAAACAAGCAAGCAAATCCTCTCTGTGTAAAATCCTAGACGTAACTGACTCATCGGCCACGCCGTGTGCCGTTTGTTTGTTTATGATAAGCATTAGTCAGGATAGCTAGATCGGTATCATGATATGGCATTATCCTTTTATTGTGTTGTCTTAACGTGGACATTCCGAATCAACAAAAATAAATTAAAAACAAATTATAGTAATTTAGAGTATTTTAACGAACACGTATCTATATTAACACATACATTTAATTTACTCTTCTTAAATCGTTATACCATTGGTGATAAGTTACATGATAAGTAATAAGAGTGTTTTTATCATTAAATAACTTCGGTAATCGGTTTTGCAAAGGACGGAATTGATTATATTATCACAGGATATCTTTAAATAAACACTAATGACATTTCAAAAAAAGATTATAGTTTAAAATAACTAAAAAAACACGCTTTTGTAGCTAGCCGAACTAAAGAAAAATAATTTTATGGTAAAAAGCGTGGGGTGCCACATCTCAATTGTTATAAAAATATTTTACTGACTGAGATATTGGTAAAAGTAAAGCTACTCGTATTAAATTATAAAATACCTTAGAAAGTTCATAGATCAGAAGCCCAGCCTTTCAGAAGCCCTCGCCTTCTACTCTTTCTTCACTTTCGACATTTAATAAATTACATTTTAATTACATTACATTTAATATTATTACATTTGTCGCATATTCTATCAAAGTATTTGTGATTTAAAAATGAATGAATGATTTAAATGTGTTCACTAATGTCCACGACAATAGGTAACGAATATTTGTGAACCTGATCTACAGCCAAACTTGCACTTTCTTTGTTGCCCAGCTTTAATGCATTCGTACTTATTAAAACAAGAGCCCTCCATGTTCTTGTCCATTAGAATTACGTTATTCTGCAGTTGTCGTGAGATGAATGCCCTCTACATCGTTTAAACTCAAATGGTTTGAACTGGAGTATATATATTTCCCTCGTTCTGAGGGATGTAAAGAACGACAATGCACTTGTGACCCTTGAGTTCTAAGTGTCCATGGACAGCGATTGTCAGTTACCATCAGGTGATCCTTCTCCTCGTTTGGCCCCATTCCATAAAATATAGAAAATCAGCGGAGTAAGTCACCCAAGGTTTCCATTGTAGGCTAATTTTCTTAATCGTAGTTCGTGATCTACTTTGTCGAAAGCTTTTCAGTAGTAGGTGTATATTGTATTCTGCATTTATTGGCACTGGTTGATCTAAATTATTAATAAGGTAAATATTAATAAGTTAGTGGTCGTTGATTTGCTTTTAATAAATCCGTGTTGTTATTGAATAATAATGTTATAAACAGACTCATATATCTCTCGAAAGACCTTGAAAAAGAACCCAAAAGAAAAGATTATGATAGAATAACTACCAAAGTTGTAAAATTTGTCACCATCTTAGCTACTTATATAATAAAGCTGTGTATATATCAAGATTGAAAGTTTTCATAATCAAGCCAATTCATAAGAAAACCAAAAAAAAAGATAAAGTCAAACGGTACGCATATTGCCCTAATACCAATATTTTCAAAATTTTAAAGAAGTACTCGTCCTTAAATCTGAAACCTTCAGTTAACTATTCTGTCATTCTCAGTTTTAAGTTTTGTCAGATGGTTGTGTTGAGCCATCTCACTTGGTCCCCTGTTTTTCTCAATCTCATTCTCTGTGCACAATGTGGTGTCTATGAAGCTATCGTAGCCAAGTCGTAGGGGCGTAACAAAACTTACACCATATTTTTTTTCTAATTGTTTGCTATTTTTATAGCATAGCCATTTCCAAAAAACAATGGTCCTGCTGACTTGAGACTTAATTAAGCCATTGTGGCCATCGCTATATTTCCGGATCACTTACACTGATGAAAACCGGCTTTGTGGCATATTTTTTTGGTAATTATTTGCTATTTTTTACCAATTTTTTTTTATGCACACGCACGCTTGTTTGAAGGAAAAGTAGGTATAACACACCTTACGCTATGCATGTATACTAATCACCAAAGTATCGTTTAACTGATCCGTACTTATTTCTTCTAGTTTTTTTATTTTTTGTGCAATCTTACCTCAAGTTATAATAACTTACCAATGGAGAGAAAACATGAAGGGCAAGAGGTATAGGCCAATGACTGCTGTGTTAGGAAATAGATAAAAAGAGGCAATCAAAGTAGTATTTATATATATATAAATATAAAATATAGTGATAGTTACACATAATAAATATTTGTTGTAGTTTGGTGAGTATATAACGTACTGGAATATAAATATACTATACTATGTGCAGAACAAGGCTAGTGGTGTTATTGGATGCATATAATAAAATAAAAAAATACGTGTGATTTAAAACTACTAAATACATATATTTTATAAAACCTTATTGACTTAGTAGAAAGTTAATAATAATATCACTTTCACTTGCTTTTGGAAGGAAGCAAGTGTTTGTGCACGTCTGATTGGGACCAGTAGTTCCACAACCGAACTGCTTGAACAGAGAAGGAGACGTCGAAGAATTAAGTGGAATATATCGGCATATTTAGTTTCAGGTTCTCTGAATATCTCAACAATTTAGGGTGTGTGTCATTTAAGAAGGTGAACCGTGATTTGAAGTAACGTCTAGAGAAGGGATTAAAAATAATATTGTAGAGAAAAGAAAGAATCCTCAAAGTTATCCTCAAACCAGATTGTTTTCTTTATCGGCTATGTACACATGAGCCATAAAGTCTATTTAGGATAAAATGTCTGTCTAGACTCGTGTAGAAGACCACAAAACTTGAGTATATTAGACACCACAACAATTACTTTAATATGTTTAATAATGTTCCCTAATCGGCAACAGCTGTGGTTTCAGGCTTTTATCTTAGTGGTGACGTAATGATTTCATTACATTCTTTATGTACTTCTTATCTTCACTAACTAGTAGTGCAAACAATTGAAAAGAAATAAAATAGAAGAGTTTTTTTATTGTTTTTTAGATCTACTCGTATTTAAAAACAAGGAACTACCGTGGCTATCACTGGTACGAGGTAGTTCATTAAGCCTGCTTTGCTTTTCTTTCTTGGTAAGAAAAGTAACAAAATTTAAGGCGATAAAATAAGAAAACAGGTAATTGTACTTTATTGTAGTTTATTGATATCTGTAGTTTTATTTGTTTTTCTACGACCGAAAAACTCCATTGAAGAGAATGTTGTCGTGGTGCATTAAGTAAAATACAAAGGGATGATCAGCATCGAAGGTTTGATAAATAGGCCTTGCACCGACAGAAGTAATAAAACTCACACCAAATTCTATAAAAGAAAAATGCATTGAAATAAATATTCTAGTCTTAGGTTCTAATCATATAAGGCTAGGATATAGGAGACAAAGTCTTAATTCCCACCCCTCGCTTACTAGAGTGGGGGAATCAACAGTCGAGGTCGGCTGACACATTAAATATCTCGGCCTCACCCTGGACAGCCGCTGGAGCTTCAAGGAGTATTTCTAGCGGATAATATCCCGAGTTCACGGAGTGGCGGGCTCTCTACAGAGGCTGTTGCCTAATCTAGGGCTCCACAGGAGGAATTTCACCGCCTCTACTGTGTGGTGGTACGATCTATGGCCCTCTAACTCCAAAGCTTAGAGAGGGAGGTTGCGTCACCTAATGACTGACGCAGGTACTCACTGGGCATGGTGGCTTCGCTAAGTACCTGAATCGGATCGGACGTGAAGAGATGGCACAATGCCATCACTATGCAGCCGACTGGGACTATGACCAGCACACTATGATTTCCCCGCGTGGGCATCTGAACTCGAAGTCCTGGCCGACCAAATCGGACTAGACCTGTACCCAAAAGCAATAATTGATGCCATAGTGGCGGGTGAGGAGGGCTGGGACACAATAGTCTCTTTCTGTGAAGCTGTAATGCTCCAGAAAGAGACCACTAAACGGAATCGGGAGAGGGCCGCTGACGCCGTGAAGCCGGGAAGTTGTTTCCACTGGGATATGGCCTGTTTAGGCCTGGTGAACCTGGAATTTTCCACTACAAAGAATAAACCTTAAAAAAGATAGGTCAGCAAGGGAATTCTGGCTTCATTCGTCTCTGATACCAAGCTGTGAACCACTATCTGGTTTTTTAAGATCACTTGTTATATCAAAAGTATTTACACTTACTATTGGCGGCAGCTGCTTCGGTCCCTTTTTCGTCCACTTCTATGAAAGCTTTTTGTATAGCGTCACTCACATACAGATTATTTTCATCTTCTATAAGATTGTTAAGTTGAGCTTGCCCTTCCACAAATAAATGCTCAATATTCATCTGAAATTGTAATAGAAAACATGTATTCTCAGGTTTTTCTTCTTCAAAAAATAAATTGGAATCCCAAGTTTTTAAACTTATACTTTATAAGTTCGTTAATATCTACAAACGGACGGGTCACCTGATGATCCTAAAACTCAACAGACACAAGTGCTTCAGTGACCTTAGTAAAACTAAATATTGGCTTCAAATTGACAAGTAAATGTTTGAAAGTTACCTGAATTTGAGGATTGTTTTAAAATTTACAAATAACAGTTCGTTTGTAAAGATATAATTATCACATCTATTTTAGAATGCGAGTTGATCTTACAAAGAGTGCTTTCATTAGCAGATTGGTCCTGGCCACCCGTACCGGACAGCAGTGCAATTCATGTCTAAATCACCATTGAATAGTAATACTTATGGCATACAATAGAAATATTACTCAATAGGTTGCACAATACTTACTCTTTGAAGAACTTCTTTAAGATCAGTTGTAGTTTCAATTTTAAATTTGGGTAAAGAAACGTGAACATTTTCTTTGTACATATTACTTCGTGCCTTCGAAAATGCTGCTGGATCTTTAAGTTTTTCGCTTAGCGACTCAATACCATCATATTGTTTGGGGAGTACGATGACAAAAGATGTTTCACCTCCTTCATATGACATTTCAAGGAGCTGGAAAACGTTATAAAGTCGATAGAAAATATTTATTCTACTAACACTTACAGTTTAATTATTATGATCTCCAACGCAGGATATACACAATTAAAAAAATTAATTTACTAAAGGGGTATTAAGTCCTGTACTTCTTCACTTACAAGTCACCACAGCAAGCACAATGAAAAACAAAATAACATAAACTGAGCGAACAAAACTACAAGTAATAAAGAAAATTTAAAGGAGTAAAAAATTAAAAATATATAATTAAAAAGAATAGATTTTAAACATTTAAATAAACTTGGTAAAACGGATTTATTCTTATTTTAAAAATGAGTATAGAGTGTGCAATGATAAGATATTGATTAATTTAAATTTTTAAATTTTAGGCTAAGTACTTTATCATCATCATCATCTCAGCCGAAAGACGTCCACTGCTGCACATAGTCCTCCCACCTTGCTCTTCACAAAAACCGGTCCTGTGCTGCCCGCAGCAAAAATATAAAAATTTAATTCTTTCATTTTCTTTTATTCACTGTAATCTTTTCTTTAGGATTTAGGAGACTAACGAGCATACGGCTAATTGGGATAAAGTGACTACCGACGCCCATGCACGCCTGCAACTCAGGAGTCACAAGCCAGCATTTCAAGAAGGAGTATTCTCTTTTTTAAATGATTGCGAGGTTATACCGGACATAGCGCAGACGTAATCAATCTGTTCCACAAATTGGTTGTGCGAGACAATTTTTTTTTTGAAGTATATTGTTGGAGTGTCAACGGGGCAGACCACCATCTGGTGGTCTGCCCCGTGGGCAATGACAAAAAGCCCTGGTTGGTATTAACCGTCTAAATAATTCCTCGGAGAATTCTCCATGATATAGGTGATGGATAATTCAGAGTAAAGCCAACTCTGCATTATCTAACTCTCTCTAATAATCTCTTTTGACTGAACTGCTTTAAATTAACTAAGTAATTAAATTAACTACAGCTATTACCTTAGCATCTAATCCGTTACTATCGCCGTATTTGAATCTATCACTTTGATGCATCATGGGTATTGTGACTTTTTGATTTATAGTTACAAAAAAATCACGGTCTCGCGTCATATATTCTTTAAATTGAATCTGCCAGTTGCCCTGTTTTAAAATAAAGTAGTGATTAATGACTATGTCTTAATAGTGTACAGTTATGTTGCAATAATTATGGATAAGTTTTACCTTGAAAAAAATAGCATTGACAAGAACAGCCGCAGTGTCCTTAATAAGTGTAGAGGGGTCCACTAAGTTCTTAATGCGTTTATTTGTGTTAGCTTCGACCTGTAATGTACAATCCATACTAATATTATAAATGCTAAAGTGTGTCTGTCTGTCTGTTTGCCTGTTGCCTTTATACTATTAAACCCGCTTAACCGATACAGATAAAATTTAGAAAAGAGATAGTTTGAGTCCTAACAAATCATGCTTTAAGGGATGAAAAGGGGTGGAAGTTTATAAGGGGAATCCATAACTGCTAAACCGATTTTGATAAAATATGGTATGGAAATAGTTTGAGTTGTGGGAAAGGATATAGAAAAGTTTTGTCCTCTAAAGCATCCCTTGCGGGTGTAAAAAGGGGTATAGAAGTTAATTAAAAGGGAATCAATAAAACGGACAAAGACTTTTATCGTGTAACTTTTCGTTAGAGTTATAGACATCATTTGGTGCAAATATAATTGAAGAACGTGGTTTTAATGCAATTTGTTGAAACATGGATTATGTTGCAATGGATGGATGTGTATAATGTGTGTCACATAGTAAAAAAACAAACAACAAGTTGGATTGAAACCACGTTCTTATATACATACACATATGAAAATTCTATTAATGGTCCTAAATGAAGATTTCTTTAACGAAATCTTCATTTATGACCCTTAATAGAATTTTTAACCTAGAATGTTTAAACATTGCCTTATGGTGAATATTACAGATTCAGTTCACGAATTTACCGCCATTCAGGAGCACTGTTGCCATTATTTGATGGTGATTATAAATTTCTTCGAACTTATTTCATTTCCATATGAAGCTGAAATAAATGTAACGCTGTGCTATTGATCATGTACTAACAGTCGTATATAAATCCGTTTTTAAAGGACGCATCGCTCGTGTGCACGTGTTTATAAGATGTTAGGTTGAGTGTGGCATATTCTTGATGTTTTTAGATAATATGATTGTTCTGGTTATTTCTTGATACTAGTTCGGCCTAGTTTGGAATCAGACTGCCACGTGTGAGATGTGTGAAGATATTATTATATTTTAAGTACAAAAACTGCATAAGACGTACATTAATTTTTTTGTGAGAAATAGAGAATGCACATTGTTGAAGTGTTCGATTACATTAATTGTTATTTTCTATTAATGTAATGTAAGTAGTACGTGACAAAACCTTATCATCTACTTCAAAAATTTTTGACTAGTTTGAAATGTGAATAGCGTAGGTATTAAAAAAATAAAGATACTGACCCACTTATTTATTTCATCAGCAGCTACCTCTGCGTTCATAAAATTGATATTTTGAATTTCTGAACTAAAAACAGTTCTTGAAATGGCAGCAAATTCTTGGTTTAAACTGTAACCATTGCGAACATATACTTTGTTTGCCTGCTTCAGTTCAACACTTTTTACTGAATGTATTCGGGCATTCACATCAGAGAATACTTCTTTTATCTATAACATACAATATAAGTCACAAGATTTCATAAGGTATTAAAACTTTCTGTTCCGATGCATGGATTGAGGTTACCGGATGGTGTCACTATCATATAATATGATAAAGAAGCTGCCAAAGTCTAACATTATTTTCTGAGTACCTATAACATCCTCCAAAGTAAACGTTAACTGAAAATAATACTAAGTATTTCACAACTTTATATGAAAATGTAACGTTTAAACACGATTTTTTTTTATTTTCTTTTCTCATGTTTATTTATTTATAACTTGGAGGACCAACAGTTTTGACAAGGTTTGCAACAGCAAGCCAATTACTGATCCCCACGTTTAGTTCAATACATAGTTAATTTTTATTTTGAGCGGCTTAAATTTTACGCTTTACAATTTGAGTAATCAACGTTTATATAGGTACACAGTTATAATACTAGAAACACGTTAAGCGCTGTTTGTGACAACAGATCAAGTGTAGGTATTAAATTAAAACATGAACCAAAATAACAAAAAAAATCAAAATTTAAGTAATTAATGATTGTCTACTAATGCTATTTCTTGTGAATTATAATAATATAATAATAATAGCCTTTATTTAACAATCTTTCTTACAATATAGTTACATTAACTTATTTAATTGTTTGACACCGGTACGTGAAAATTGTCTTGCTGTCTAGCATAGGCCTCCCCTAGTGTTCGCCATCGAATGCGATTATGTGCTTGTCTTTCGCAAGTAAGTCCCGCTATTTTTTTAATCTCGTCTTCCCATCTACGACGCTGTCTCCCTTTCCTTCTTTTTTATTGTCTCGGGCACCACTCCGTTATGTCTTTAGACCATATTTTATCCTTAATCTAATCTAATTTATTTATTAATTGTAATTCTAATCATAGGTCCTGCCCATCTCCATTTTTAGCTTTTTAATACAATAGGTAACATCTGTGATTCTAGTTTTCTTCCTTATAGTATCCAGTTTTATTTTATCTTTTAATTTGATGTTAAGTATGCTTCGTTCTATACTGTGTTGGCAAGTTTCTAATTTATGTATGTTATGATTAGTTAAGCTCCAGGTTTGGCATCCATATGTCATGACAGGCAGAATCCACGAATTTAATATTTTGCTCTTCGCTCTCAGTGGTACGAGTGGGTTTTTCATTACCTCCTTGAGACCAGTATCTTTTCCATGCCAAAGTGGCTCTGTTGTGAATTTCTTTCGTGGTTAGGTCTATTGGAGATATGATCTGTCCGAGGTACGTGTATTCCCTCACATATTCTATAGTTTTTCCGTTAACAATAATAGGGATGCTTACCGAGTTTGATATTGTTTTGGTTTTTGCCGTATTCATCGACAGTCCTACTTTGTCACTTTCATACAACAGTTGTTCTAACATCTTTTGTAAACTTTTTGAATCTTCGGAAATTATTATTATATCGTCTGCAAATCTTAGGTGGTTTAGTCGCACTCCGTTGATATTTAATCCGTAGTTATCCCACTCGAGGTGTCTAAACACATATTTGAGAACTGCTGAAAAAAGTTTGGGTGACAAAGGATCTCCTTGCCTTACTCCTCTTTTAATCGGAAAAAAATCTACATCTCTTTCAGTTCTTATTTTTGCTTTCATGTTCTTATATATGTTGATAATCAATCGAATTTACTTTTTCTCCACTCCTTGTATTTCTAAGGCTTCCCAAATTTTTGCGTGTTTTTGAGTGAAACGCTTTGTTATAATCCACGAACGCCAAGTAAAAGGTAATATTGTATTCGTTACATTTCTGGATTACTTGCTTTATAGAGTGGATATGATCTATTGTTAAGAATTCACTACGAAAAGCTGCTTGTTCTTATGGTTGGTTTTCATCCAAAGTTTTTGTTAAACGATCTAGCAGTCTTTTTGAGAATACTTTGTACACGTTTGACATCAAGCTGATAGGTCTGTAGTTGGCTATTTCATCTTTCTTCCCTTTTCTGTGTAATAATATAATGGTTGATATAGTCCACTGTTGAGGTATGTATTCTGTATTAAATATCTCTGTGATAGTGTTTAACGTTACTTTGGATGATCCTATTAGCAGTTCGTTAAATATGCAATCTCCTCCAGGCGTTTTTCCTTTCTTCTGTGATTTGATAGCCTTATTGACTTCATCTCTCAGTATGCAGTATGCATCTTCTTCGTCCGTTTTGGCCCAGTTTACTAGCTGCATGGATTCCTCTATTGTTACATCGTTGTTGTATAATTCACGGTAATATTCTGTTGCTACTTTTAATATTTCGATTCTATTTGTGTTATTTTTCTTGTTTCTGTGGTGTTTTATGTTGTCGATCCAAGTAAAGTTGTCTCTTAATTCGACCCATGCTTTCTTGACTCCACCTGATTTTTCTATATGATAATTTAGTGTTTCGGTTCTTAATTTCTCTCTATGTTTTCGTATTTGCAGGTTTATTTCTTTCCTCAGATTTGTTATTTCTTTTTTACTTTTTCCTGACTCTAATCAAAGTTTTTCTTTGCATGATCAACTTCCTTGCTTCTGGACCTAGTTTGTTTTTTTTCTCTCTTGTTGTTCTCAATTTGTTTTCAGTTTCTTTTAATTCCTTTTCCAGAGCGTCATACTTTACTTGAACTTCTTTAAGATTATCAATTTTTTTAACTTAGTGTGTAAGGCCTCTAGAATATTTTCCGAGATTAATAAAGCTACTGGTTTCGTGTTGTAAATATTTTTTTTTGATGTTTTTGGTTCTCGTGTATAAAGTTGTCCTCTAAGTAATCTGTGGTCTGTGTTGTAGTTGAATTGGTTGACAATGTTTATGTTTAAGAACAATCTTGGTTTGTTTGTGATAATGTAGTCTATTTCATTTCTTATCTTACTATTCGGTGACACCCATGTCCACTTCTTATTAGGATTCCTATTGTAGTAACAGTTCATGATATGGAGGTTGTTTTCCAACGCGAAGTTTACCAATCTTTGCCCGTTGTCGTTCCTTTTGCCTGTTGTATGTGGTCCGAGTACTTTGTCCTCGTTGGTTCTTCTCTTTCCTATTTGGCCATTGAAGTCGCCTAATACGATTATGGTTTTATACAAAGTCGGCATTATTTAATAGAGTTTGTTGTAGAAATCGTTTTTTATTTCTTCTTTGGTGATATCAGTCGGGGCATATATTTGAACAATTGAGGATGGTTGTTTATGGCCAGGTAATTTGATATTTAAAACTGCTATCCTATCCGATATGCCAAGAAACTCTATTATTTCATTTTTGAGGTATTTCTTAACCATAAATCCTACTCCATGAAGGCCAGCTTTAATGTTTTTGTAGTAAAATATACATTTGTCATGTTCTTCAGTTTTCTCATCAGCTCTCCTCACTTCATTTAAGCCTAAAATATCCCAGTTTACGGTTTCCAATGCATTTTCTAAATCGAGTAGGGATTCTTAGGATTTTAACGATCTTGTGTTTAGTGTGGCTATATTTAGTCTTGTTCTTTGTTTTTGTTTATTTTTTCGGCGGCGTGTTTGTTAGGACTTTTGAATCTACTTACTATAGGCTTTAGGGGGGTACGGTCTATCTCCCCGCGGTGACCAACCGTATTGGGGGTCAGTACATGCTAAAATAATTGTAACTATGTTTCGTTCTGAAGGTATGAGCCTGGTGATCTGTAACATAGGTTTACCAGTCTCTCACAAAGGAGTGCTGTAGTCTTAGTCTGAATGATCTGTATTTATAAATTGTACACCTACCTTTGTGATGAGAGAAATAAATACAGAAAAAAAACTCACCACGTTGTCATTGGGCATATCTATAGCTGTTAGGATTTCGTCATGAGAACGTCCCACAGATGCTAAGGCTAGTTGTGCAAGAGGAGATAGTACTGAAAAAGCCGATAGTACGAAACTTTTATTTGCTTGGATATTCGAGACTTCCTAAAATATAGAAAAAAATACTTAAACACTGAGGCCCCAAAGTTTAGAAAAGCACAATCAGATTTATGACTCCAACGCACATTATTTTTTATAATTTAAAAAGAATTGTGAAAACAAAATATCGTTGTCTTAATTCTTGTTCTTAGTTGAAAACCGTTAATATTCCACTCAAACATAGAATTGGCACACTTACACATAAGAATTTTGCTGTGAACTGGTCATTTCCATTTTTCAGAATCTCTTGTACATTTAATTCTGACATCACTGTGGTTGCGTGGAGAGCCAAAACTGTAGTGCTATACACATAGGGTTATTTGTTTATTATCGTTATTTTTCAACAATAATGCATCATCTCACTTTTAGTTGACAGTTGTATTCGAAGATATGCAAAATCAATATCCATACATTTTGTGCAATGATTCATTAGTATGAGGAATTAAGCTTACACACTAGTAATGTTTTAAAAGTAATATTCCCCCTACACTTCAATTGCCATAGCCTACCATTGAATATAGCATGACTAGGACTTATCCTGTGTCTAATTTATATCAATGACGCAAATGACGGTTTGCGTACGATTAAAAAATTCTAAAAGTTTTGCACTGATCGAGCTCAACATTGACACGATTTACGATTTACAAACCGCTTCAAAGATTGTTTTATCTATTTTTTGGTCAGTTTTGTTAAATTTGCAACATTTACCGAAACACTACACTTGAATGTCAATTACGAGTTAATGAATGACTTTAACCTGTGAAGAAACTGAACATATGCCATTGCCTATATAATGCAAAAGTTATACTTTATACATACAAAATATTTTAGCAACCTCTTAATGTAATTTTAGAAACATTATTTGTAGATTTCCTTAAAAAAAAATGTGGTCTAGAAAAGTTTAAAAATCTAAGTTGAAAACTTACTTTGAGCTTTGTATAGTTTAACGAAATAGACGGGTAGATCCTCTCTGTATTCAATCCTAGACGTAACTGACTCATGATGACGCCGTGTGCTGTTTATTTGTTTGTGATAAGCATTAGTCAGAATAGCGAGATCGATATTATGATATGGCATTATCCTTTATTGTGATGTTTTAACGTGGACATTCCGAGTAAACAACCTAATAAGAAAACAAATACATAGTTATTAGAGTTAAATGACTGAATTCACTTTGTTTTTTTTTTATTTAACAAAATCAAGGACTTGATCACGCCGTGATCACGTTATTCCCATAGGACTCGACTATACGGATGACATAGTAGTTTCAGCTATCACCTCGCCACTTCCTATTGTTGAGACATCACTTTGTGTGAACCACAAATTGTTGTTCTGAGTCTGGGTGTTTTTTTGTGTCCGTTTCATAAATGTTTACAAAATCCCCCGCGACACAGAATATGATGAGGTTTTATTTAAAAAGACTGCTGAAGAAAGCTACTTATTACATGAACCAACTACATCTATTTTTAAAACCTAAGTTGACAATCTTGAACAGGAGTTATGCCTGATCCGACACAGGCTTTGACCAAAATGGGGTCATAAACTCCAGCAGACCTTAGGAATTTTACCCTGAGACATTCTACTGTTATGTAAAAATCTTTTACCCTAACATTATAATTAGTGAAGTTAGGAGAAGTATTTTAACCCTGTCTGCTAAGCCAGAGGTTGTGGGTTCAATTCACACCCAGGCCAAATAATTGTGTGATGAGCACGACGATTTGTCCAGTGTCTGGGTGTAATTTGTCTACAATATGTATGTATCTAAAAATTAGTAGTTTGTCAAATCAAATCAAATCAAATCAGTAGTCTAAATTTATTGTATTACATAAGAACAAATACTTTATATTTAGTATTATTATTTTGGTATTCCTATTTTTTATAATTTTGTGAGTTTTTAGTTAGGTTATTAATCTGTTGTATTTTTTGAAATGTTAGTAGAGTATTTATTTAAAGATACCCTGTGATAATATAATCAATTCAGTCCATTGCAAAACCGATTTGTTCCAACTTAGTAAATGATAAAAACACTCTTATCATGTCACGTATGTGTTAATATGGATAAGCGTTCGCTTGTCAGTTCTGTTAACTTTGACGGGCCTGTTGGTTTAGTGGTTAGTGGATCCAGACTAAGCCCACTAACTAAGTAAGATCCCCACTCAGGACATAACTGTGTGTTGTGCATCATCATTTGTTCTGTGCTGGGTGTAACTTATCTAAAATATGTATGAATCTAGAAATATATAAGTATGTTTATCAGCGGTCTGGTTACTATTGTACAGGCTCTGCCTAGTTTGGGATCAGACCAGCGTGTGTGAGATGTATGAGGTAATTATTTTTAAATCTGATCCGATGTTTAAATAAAAGTGCTTTCAGCTTCTTATTATGTTAATTTGCGATAGTTCATAAATTACCCTTTCAGAAATCCCCTCGAATACCACCTATCGGTGGCATGTCGCTCTCGAACCTACTAAAACCGCACGCCATCTCGGGTACTAATAGCCGGGGAACCAGGTATACCCTAGAAAGGAAGTCCCTGGTGCCCCGACATACCTCGGGCCATCTACAACAAGTAGACAACCCCCCTCCGTGTGGGAACCCCATGTTCCCTCTGCTCCCTGGAAGCGAGCGCGCTTCGCAACGCGCGCCATCCCGGCCTTACCTGTCACCTCCAAGCCTGCGCTTATGGAGGACGGAGGTCCTTCTGCGACCTCCGGCGTCTGAGTCGCCTGCGGTACTGTCCCGTTCCCGGGCCTGGCGGGCCGGGGGAGTCCTAAACCTCTCCCGGTCCCGCTCCGCCGTCTCCTTCGCGAGCATAACTTGCTCGCAGAAGGAGACGGCAGAGTTCCACGCACTCTCGCTCCGCACGATACCCTAATCAGGCTATCGAGCGATAACTCCCACTCCGATGGCCGCCACGAGGTCTCAATCATGTGCAATATCGCATAATAGTTAGGTAAAGGTATGAACTATCTAAGTAGGTATTTTTAATGAATACTTGTCAACGTGGTCTACCGGTTAACTTTCAATTTTATGATGTCCACCATTAACACTTAATAAAACAAGAGCCCCTCTAGTTCTTGTCCATTAAAAGGACGTCATTCTGCAAGTACCGTAAGATGAATGCCCCGTCGTTTAAACCCCAATAGTCTGAACGACACAGTGTTTATTTATAAAGTTTTCAGAGCGTTTACAAAATCTATCATATTTATATTTAGTGTATTTGGTTTGAAGCGTCAAGGTTCAATATTCTAGAGTAGTAGTAGTATACAGTTTACATAATAATGTGTTTGTAGTGTGCGCTGGTTTTGACTTTACTTATTACAATGTATGTTTTCACTTCCACTGTGTATCTTTGAAATTTGAAGACCTTTCTAGTGCACCGATTATTATTAATTAATTTCGTATCTCTACCGATAATTCATCTGCTAACAAACTCTAAGGCCAGTTCATTTTTCTTGAAACTTTGATTACTAAAATAGGTCAAAGTAATTGTAGCGGCATCATGATCATAAACAGATGTTTTTGCAATTATTTTCTTAGAAACACTAGTCCAAATAGATCCTTGAAGTCTACGTCTACCGAATTGAATTATTCATAAACACACTTTCCAGAAGCGAAAGCGATATAAGGAGAGTATTTTATTAAGGCGAATGTAATTGATAAATTTGATAGTCTTTTAGTAATGGCAATTATTGCTATTTTCAAATCATAATCATTTGTTAAAATGATTGGTCCTAGTCACTGCGATTGCACCTGTGATAAATCACTACTGGGATTTGGTCATATACAATGATAAATGCCATTAAAAACTTAAGCAAAGAAATAAAGTGTTGACACACTTTTTTTCTTTGCTTAAGTTTCCGACGCACGACTGGAGTTTACTCCATAAGAACGATTCATTCGATCACTAAATTTTACTCTTCATATTTTTTCATACTGGGCGCCTTATATGAAAATTGATTTTTCGATTTAAACCTTTCGGAAGTCTGATAAAAATATTACAACTGCAGTAGTCTTACCGATAATCTTGAAATTGTACTTCTGGACAGTAAATTTTCAAGTTTATTTTTCCTTTTTTTTACGTATTGTACCTTGTTGTTCAATGAAAGATACATCAATGGATGAGTTACTGATATAATGTACTCCTGTTGTATTTTTCACGAACACGACATGATTGTAATTCAAAAATAAATTAAAAAGATTACCAACAGATATAAATCGCTTAACCGATAATTTTCTCGTCCCGACTTTAATTCGGGATTCTTTTGATAAAATCTCATTTATTAGTACGAGTAATACCACAGCGTGCCATGCTTTATGAATTTTTCTTTTCTTTTGCGTATTTTGCACAGTGATATTTTTATTGAAGCATTAAAATAAAGTTCATGCCATTAAACCTGAAGGTGCTGATTAAGAATATTTTTATTATGCGTAAACATTATTTAGTGATGAGTGTTGTCGTTTTTATCATAACATACACGTTTGCAGGTCAGCTAATTGTGTAATATGATATTTCAGTTTGCTTGGTGATATTGTAGTGTTTATTGCAATAGTACATTGCGAAACATATAATAATAACATTAACTATTAATTGGCAATGGAAGGGGAACATTGCTCACGGAAATAATAGCAGATTTTACAGCAAAACTTGTGGGTGGCCTATGTCCAGCAGTCTTGCGGCTGAAAAAGCAGATGAATTAATCATGAAAAAATACCTAGATTTTACTGTTCGAAAAATTGAATACATACAAAGTTATTTAACGTCCTCGCCGCCTCGGCGGGCGGTGTACAGTCGCAGACTAAGGAAATTCACATTTCCAGTAAATTCAAATAAATTGAATCCAATTCATTTGAATTTTTTGAATTGATTATCAACAAATCCATATATTGGATTATCGAAAGTGATTAACCCGTCAAATTAAAAAGTACCGGAAATGTTACACGTACGTGCTTACTGAAAAAAAAATGATTCAAAATCTGCCGTTTACAAAAATACCATGTAATGAAATTAAAAAAAAAAATTCAAACTGAACATATTGCAAAATACCTTGTAAGGTACAATATTTTTCGTTTTTCCTCCTTTAGAGAAAAAAGTAGTGCCGATGGTTTTCCGATTCTGGAGCACAATAACCATGCACAAAACCGGCTATTCAAGGTTTATTACACACGCTTCTAACCATTGATCTTGAGATTTATTAATAGTCTTTAGAACTCACTTCTAGGGCGGCATGCGAAAACGGGCAACGTTTAATGGGTAGTCTGGCCAAGCTGTGTAACTTCTTACTTAGCGGTCAGTTAAACC